GATCCCAGGACCCTGGGACCATGACCTGAGTGGAAGGCAGATGCTTAATGACTGAGCCACCCAGGCGCCCCCTAGCTATCTTAATGTTAGTATTAATCACAATGCCTTGCTAGAGGGAAAAACAACGTTAACTTGACAATGGCAAGGCCTCTGGTAATCCTGTGAGTCTTCTTTAACATATGAAAATCCTTTTGAAACCTCCCTTTTTCTTACTTCCCCCCAACCCCATAGTATATAATCAGCCACCTCGTTCTGCCCACGGGTCTTGTCCCCGTGCTTTAATAAACCACCATTTTGCACCAAAGATGTCTCAAGAATTCCTTCTTGGTTGTGGGCTCTGGACCTCACCCCCACCTAACCTCACCTATATTCCAAAACCCCATCTAATGGACTCAGAGGGGATGGTTGCATTAGTTGCAGACTGCAATCAGTACTTTTGGTGGGATTTTTATAGAAGGAAGGTATAAGTAAGTAGGAAGTTGTAAGTAGGGCATCTGTAAAGATAAAGATTGGAAACGATCTTTCCCTTGGAGAATTGAAATGTGAAAGGAACTGATTTAATACCTTTTTCACACCTGAAAGTGTTCATAAAGAATCTTTTCCTTCCATTAATAATAATTGCAGGAAACAGTGGGAGCTCCTACGATTTGGTCAAGGATTTTTAATTTTGTATTTCCCTTTGCAGTTGCATAGTTCACCTCCTACCTTCGGAATAGACAATAGCCTAAGGTCTGATAGAGGGTCCAAAACCATGTTTACAGAATACTGTACCAGTGGGGACATAATTGGAGAGCTGAGCTGTCTGCTTAAGCGTGAAATTGAATATACCGCCATCTGTGAAACTATTTTACAGGTAAGACTCTGGTTCTGTCTGTATTGTGGGCTATTAGTTAATTCTTCCTGAAGTAAATAAGGAATGCCAGCATCTTTTCTTCCTTTGGGTTCTGATATCTTATGCAGTCGCCCACCCAGCTATTGTGAAGTAGAGTAGACTAGCTGAGAAAAGATTTAGTGTCTCACATCCTGACTGTGGGACCTGGAGTGAGCTATTTTAACCTCTTTGTGTCCTAGTGTCCTTGTTTATCAAAAAAGAATATCTAACTTTTGACGTTATGAAGATTAGGAAAATACCTAAGGGAAGTGCCTGGCACGTATAGGCACTCAGTGAAAGACCACTGTTATGAGAGCAGTGTTTTTAACGAATACTTGTTTTTAAACTCCCTTTCTCCCATTTTTCATTGGCTTAAGTAAGAAGTTATCTATTCAACAAATAAGTGGCCTGATATTCCACTACGTGTGGGGGATTCAAACAGAAATGAGCCAGAGTTGCTGCTTACATGGAATTCTCCAGCTTTTGGGACTGTTACATGCAATAGAGCAGGGTCCAGAGTCTTAGGGGTGTGTGGCACACAGGGCAATATTGCTTTGTCAGTTTCATACTGTTTCATTTCCGGAAGAGGACAGGAGGCATAATTTAGTCACATGGCTGAACTGAAGTCATTGAAGTTCATGTAGCTTGAATTCTGAAGGAGCAGTCTTCCTTATTCAGGGAAGTTGACTTCTGGAAACAAATAGTGTGAATCAGCCTATGGCCAGCATGCAGGAGTGCAAGAGCACCTGGCTCCGGGGCTCCCCAACAGACCAGGTTTGGCCACTCACTGCTGACAAGATCCAATGGCAGAGACATGAGTGGTGGTGAAACAAGAAAGGAATTTGTTTCAGTGAGGTCAACACTGGGAAGACAGCGGACTAGAAGCTCAAAGACTCTTGAACGTGCTGAAAATACTTCCAGATTTAGGAAGTAAGGAAAATGTGGGACAAAGGTGGGTACATGCAGGGGGGAAGTAAAGGCCAAATTGACCACTGTCTTAGAGTCGCTGGCAGGGTCTTGCTGGCTCAGGGCAGTCATTACTGCTTGCAGGGAGAGTTTCCTTCCCATCCGGGGGTGATTTGCCCTCAGGGTCTTCTGCCTGAGCCCAGAGACAAGCTGGAAAGAAACACCCAACTAGAAAGTTTGAGGTCAAAATGGAGGCAGCTGAAGTCCTCTTCTAAGCCTACTTCGCCTACTGTGGCAATAAAAAGAGATATGTTTATGTGGCTTAGTTTGTGAATCTTAGGCTTATGAGCTATATCCTTTATCATAGCTATTGACTGGTATAAATTTTCCTGGGCATTGTTAAGTGTACACTTTAATTGAACTGTAAATTTTATTAAAACAATTTCTCCATAATGCAATGCTTTTAAATGGCAGAGTATCAGAATTGCACTAGATTTGATAGTACTAGGGGAAGATTAAATCTTACAGGCACCTTGTTTTCTGGTGGCCATGTAATTTAGTTCTGAATCAAGTTTGCTGCTTGGTACCTTGTGGTTTTAGGCCTGCTTTATCTCCCTGGAGGATTTATATGAAGGTTTTGATGTCTTCTGGCCATCCTTGGAATATAAAATATGGCTAAAGCTTGCGCTCAGTATTGCCTATCAGTATTTTGAATCAAGTCTCACTGATGAGGTAAGTTAAATGATTCAAGTATGAATGAATTTTTATTTACTTTTTACAAAATGCATTTCATATTTTTGAGACAGAGAAAGGAAGGCTGTGTCTGACCTTCTAAAATCAGATTCTATGGACACCTGGCTTACTCAGTCTGAAGAGTGTGTGACTCTTGATCTTGGGGTTGTAGGTTCAAGCCCCATGTTGGGTGTAGAGATTACTTAAATAAATAAAATTTAAAAAAGTAAAATGAGATTCTAGAATTTTAACCACTCTTGTTCTGACTTCCTGCAGATCTTTAATCCTCTTGTCACAGCTAACTTTCCCAGGCTACCTGCAGTCATACCTTTAAAAAAAGGAGTAGATTCAGCAAATATTAAATAAGTAGATTCCCAGGAACCAAATTAACATTAATCAGAATGAGTTAATGAAGTTTGGTGTTTATTCATTGTTTTTTGTGTGTGTGTCTGGGCTTTGGAATTTTTTTGAAAAGATTTTATTTATTTGAGAGAGAGCACGAGCAGTGGGGAGGAGCAGAGGGAGAGGGAGAAGCAGGCTCCCTGCTGAGCAGGGATCCCGGTGTAGGGCTTGATCCCAGCACCTCAAGATCATGATCTGAGCAGAAGGCAGTTGCTTAACCAACTGAGCCACCCAGGTGGGTGGAATTTTTTTTTTAAAGATTTTATTTATTTATTTGACAGAGAGAGACACAGAGAGAGAGGGAACACAAGCAGGGGGAGTGGGAGAGGGAGAAGCAGGCTTCCCGCTGAGCAGGGAGCCCAATGCGGGGCTCGATCCCAGGACCCTGGGATCATGACCTGAGCTGAAGGCAGATGCTTAAAGACTGAGTCACCTGGGTGCCCTTGGGGCTTTAGCATTTTTAAAAGAAGCCCCTGGGGTGTTTCTAATGTGTATCCAGTGATGAGGACCACTGCTCTAAATTCTGTCAATAGGGAATACAAGAGGAATAGCAGGTTTCTGGAGGAAATAATGATCCCTTTTCACTAATATGTAGATACATAATGACTTCTGCTTTCAAGCTCAAAATCCCCAGCATTATCAGGCAATCTGCCTAGGCCCAGGTAGATGCCAATTGAGTTTCTTCTTGGGGCTGGGTTCCTGTTGGCTTTTCCCATGACCACAGTGAGTACTGATTGGGGTGGTGTTTATTATAGTCTACTCTACCTATGTTAATATAAATCTCCTGCCTTTTCAAAATCTTTATTGGGGTGACTGAGACTCTTTCATGAACTTTTTCTCTAACAAGTAGTAGCTCAAGTCTCTTCTTGGTTGGCATAATTTACAATCCATATTTATATCCTATTTAATAATTATTTGAGTCCCTATTATAAGTTAAGAACTGAGGAAGTGACAGACCTGGAGTTCAACAATATTCATTGCATTGAGAGACTGGATATGAATGTGGGGTTAAAAAATTAGCGTGTCTCAAGAGAATGAGAAGACAAGTCACAGAGTGGGAGAATATATTTGCAAAAGACACATCTGATAAAGGACTGTTATTCAAAATATACAAAGAACACTTAAAACTCAACAATAGGAAAACAAACTACCCAATTAAAAAATGGGCCAGGTTTCTGCTCCCTTCCCCCCCAACAAGTGCCCCTCCAGCTGCACTGAGCTCTCTCAGAGCTCCTGGCTCTTGCTAAGCTAGTGCCCCCAATGTCTCTCTCCAACCATCATCATGATCATCTACCAGGACCTCATCAGCCATGATGAGATGTTCTCCAACATCTACAAAATCCGGGAGATCAGGCATGGGCTGTGCCTGGGGGTGGAGGGGATGATGGTCAGTAGGACAGAGGGTAACACTGATGACTCGCTCATTGGTGGAAATGCCTCCGCTGAAGGCTGGGAGGGCGGAGGTACCAAAATCACAGTCATTACTGATGTTGATATTGTCCTGAACCATCACATGCAGGAAACTTCACAAAAGAAGTCTAAAGAGGTACATCAAAGATTGCCTGAAATTAATCAAAGGCAAACTTGAAGAACAGAGGCCAGGAAGAGTAAATCCTTTTATGACAGGGGCTACAGAACAAATCAAGCACATCTTTGTTAGTTTCAAAAATGACCTGTTCTTTATTGACCAGATGGATTCTGGACTGGAATTTGCTGGACTACTGTGAGGATGGATATATGCTTTTCTTTAAGGATGGTTCAGAAATGGAAAAATGTTAATTAATTTGGCTATTACTTTAGATGTATCACCTGTTGTCATAACTGGCTACTGCTCCTCATCCACATAGCACCAGGACTTAGACAAATAGGACTGATGTCGTCTTGAGCTCCTCATTTATTTTGACCTTGATTTATTCGGAGCAGAGACATTGTTTTTAAGAAAAAAACCCAAAACATGTCATGTAGGTTGTCTAAAAATAAAATGCATTTAAACTAAAAAAACAAAAAAAAAGGGTGGCTAAGCAGGGGGTGGAACCCTCGCTGGGACAGTGTGTCTCAGGACCCTTGGGGTCACAGAAAGACCAGGGGTACCTGAGTGTGGCAGAGCTCCTGGGTATCAGAGCGGGGAAGCCGGCTGCAGAGACAGAGCCAAGGCGTGGGCTTTCAGCTTGGGGTTGCCATAAACTGATCTGCGGCACAGCGAGGCCACTGCTCCTCCAGCAAGGACCCAACAAGCGGCAGATCCGGGGAGACTCCCCTTCCTCCCCTGGGAGGAGCGGCACGGGAGCTTACCACATGGATCTGCTGGGTTTGGAGACTCCACACTGAGTCGGGTGCCAGAGATAGAAATGCTCAGTCACAGGCTGGGTGAGAACGGAGTGCAGCCGGAGACCGGGGAGACGGGAGTGATTGACTGCTTTTCTCTGGAGGTGCACTGAGGAGTGGGGCCCCGAGTTCTCGGCTCCTCTGGGGCAGATATTGGGAGGCTGCCATTTCACTCTCATCCTCCAAAGCTGTACGGAAAGCTTTCAGGGAACAAAAGCTCCCAAGATCAAACCCGAGCAGATGACTTATCCCGGACCAGGCAAGGGCGGGGCAATTCCGCCTCTGGCAAAGACATTTGGGAACCATGGCAACAGACCACTCCCCCAGAAGATCAGCAAGAACAGCCAGCCAAGACCAAGTTTACCGATCAATGAGAACAGCAG